AAGGAGTGCGCAGGCCGGAAGCCCCAGGTGTGGTGACTGACAGCTGTGGACAATGGCCCCTTCCAGCCAAGGCGAGCGTTCAATGAGAAGTGCAGGACAGGCCCCGCCCTGGCTCAGCCCAGGGAGGCCCCATCACTGATTACGCTGCACTCTGTGTGTTTGTACTCCAGGTGGTGACAGCGGCGCGTCTGGAGCCATGTCCCCTCAGCAAGTGGTGCCCCCCCCCCACGGCCACCCCCGCCCAGAGTGGGGCCAGCTCCCCTCACACAGCGTGTGGAATTTGGAGCTCATCACCAGAGGGCAGTCAGCTTCCCTCTCTTACTCTCCCACACTTTCTCCCAATGGATCCAGAGTCGTGTCCAGGTTAACCCGAGGTAGCCGGGCTCCCCTGTCCACTCCACAGCTCCCGCCTGTGTCCTGGGCAGGTTCCCTCCTCCAGGCCCCGTGCCCATGTCTCCCTTCTCCCTGGCACTGCCCCGAGGACCTGGCATCCAGGCCGCTGCCGGCAGGGCCCCCTGGCCTGGTCAAGCGCGATTCTGGACGTAGCCTCCTGCTCCAGGCGACGCTTTGCTCTGCTCTCGGCCCTGGTGCAGGGCCCAGGACAGGCGGCTCACTCCTTTCCTTCTGCCTCTTTGGGGCTCACCTTAAAAGCTGAGCTTTCTTTTAAACAAGACTTTGGGCTGAAGGGGCCATAAAATTTCCTCTGCATAAACCCCAAAAAGTGTGTGAAGAGAAAGAAATTTGGGAGGACAAAGGTCAGAGGGAGTCTGCGCAAGGGAAGAATGAGGGAATATAACTCAGGGTTGAAACAAGAATTTCTTGGTAAATTCCAAGAATGAATATTCCCTATCCCCACTAAATTCTGTCTTGGCAAAGCAGAGAGGACCTACTATGTGTCGGTACTATAGTCTGTGCATTACCACAACTTTGCCAGATGGGTATTGTCATCCCCAGTGTACAGATGAGAAAACTGAGGCCCGGAGGATTGGGTGAGTTGTTGTCTATGTCACAGGCCCAGGAGGGAACCTAGGTCCTATCCACTATCCACTGTGCCAAGCTGGCTTGCATTCCCCTCTCTGGAACTTCTGAGGAGTGTGTGTGTGTGTGCATGTGTGTGTGTGTGCGTGCGTGTGTGTGTGTGTGTGTGTGTGTAGGGGTAGAAAGGAAAGAGAAGGAAGGGGTAGGGGCATCCATTTCTCCTTCTGCTACCTAAGCTCCAGCTGTAGATCAGCTGCATTGGTCGATATGTTAGAGTTAACTGCTGCCCTAGACTGGAAGCTGAGAGGGGCAGGTCGAGAGGGGGCGTAACAGTCGCAGGAAATTAGGGCGTGGCTGACACCAGAGGAGACAGCCAATGAGGGCCTCGGGATCAGCAGCTGTGGGCGTCCTGGCATATCAGCAGGCACAGGATCAAAGAACAAGTAGGAAGGAATGTCCCCGGGGTGGTCTGGTGCCTATGATATCAGCAGAAAATTACAGGACATGAGACAGGAGCTTACAGAATGAGGGGAGGGGACGAGAGGTTCCCATGGCTAATCCTGTTAAGGAGACAATTTCTTATCAAACTCATTATGCCTTTGAGAGGAGGGAGCAAGAGGGGGAAGCGGAGGTGGGGGAGAGGGCGGTGGGGGGTTAGCCCTGGAGAAGGGAGGACATGGGGGGGAGCTGTGGTAACAGAGCCTGTGGTTCCAGGGCGGCGTGTGACCGGCAGGGGCTGAAGGAGTGGGACTTTGCCTGTCTCTGCCTCCCACACCCCCGCACGGGGAGGCCAGTGGTAAAAGCTCCCTGAAAGCCAGCTCTCCACCTGGCTGCTGGGAGCACCCTGCTGGCCCTGCCGGTGTCTGAGCCACAGATGCCCGAGAGGGAAGCAGGATCATCACTCTCGTCCATCTTGTCCCGTCTTCTGTGGATCCAAGAGGACCATCCCCGTCAGCATAGAAGCCACAAATACTCTAGCGCATGGGACTGAGGGCCACACACAACGTCCCCTGGGCCGGGGTCTGTAGGAGCAAGGGCTGGAGGAGGAGTGGGTCCTTGAGGTCGCCGTCAGGAGTGGGTGGGGTTTGGACCGACGGAGAGAAGTCTGAAGGATGGTCAGCAGACACGGTGGAGCTCTTCCTGTGCACCTGGCGCCGTGCTAACCGAGGGACTGTTATAAAGATGCTTCAACTACTTCCGTGGCCAAGCCCAGCCCCTCAGCGAGTGGCGGCGGCGAGGACGCGGGGAACGGAGCCCGTGTGCGTTGCTGGGGAGGGACAGCGGTGAACAACAGGACGGCCACAGGGTCCAGCCCTCCACGCCGGGACAGAAGCAGGGACCAGGACAGAGATGTTACACCCACGTCCACAGCGGCATTACTCACCATCACCCCTGAGTGGAAGCCACCCACGTCTCCATGGACAGAGGAAGGGCTAAACAGCAGGTGGTACAGACGCACGATGGGATGGCATTCCGCCTTCCACAGGAGGGCGTCTGCCCCGCTGCAGGGTGGGTGGCCCTGAAGGTGCTTGTTCAGGGAAATAAGCTGGTCACAAAGAAGACAGACACTGTGTGATTCTGCTCGGGCAGAAGTAGAATGTGGGACCAGCTACGATGATAAGAACCATCAGTCCTGCCCTGTTCACCGCCACCATTCTGTTCTGGTTAGAAAGCGCCTCTCACCTGGCTGGGAGCCGCAGGCCCTGGGACATGGCGCTCACATCTGACCGGGTCCATCCTCCTTCAGAGCCGCCTGTCATTCTGGAGAGATTGATACCCTCGGGGCTGAGACAATCCAGTCCTGGAGGCACCTGCTCCTTACAACCCCAGCCCCTATGGCCTGGGGTCTGGGCCCATCTTTGTCCTTCTACCCAATACAGCAGCAGCTTGGGGGGGGGGGAGCAGCTTTCTGTGGGTGACCTGCTGCTCCCACGCTGCCCGCAGGATTGGAACACACGCTCATAGGATTCACCCCTTTGCTGAATTGGCTCAAATAGTGACGGGCAGCCCAGACCCCTTGGCTATCTGGCTACAGTTCCACTTATGAGGTGTCCGTACTAGTCAGCTTCACAGAGACAGATGAGAATGATGGCTGCCAGCGGCTTACGGGGAGGGAAAATGGGAAATTGTTTAATGGGCCCAGAGTTTCAGTTTTGCAGAAGGAAACGGAAACAGTATTGGCCGATGAGAGAGTGTGAGGGGTGTGGACCCCGGTTCTGAAGCCAGGCACCCAGCAGCCCTGCACCCCTATCAGTGTAACTACTGCAGTCAGCTTGGAGTCCAGAGTGTGGAGGAGGGGAGGGGCCCAATGGGAGCAGGGGAACAAGAGGGGAGCAGTGGGAAGTCAGGAGGAGCCTTTTGCAGATGTCCTGGAGAAGGAAGAGGAGGCCATGGAGGAGGGAGTGGTGAAGGAGGGGGAGGGAAAAGGAGGGGGAAGAGGAGGGGAGAGAACAGGGAGAAGGGAGAAGTGGGAGGGGGAAGAGGCAAGAGGGAG